AGCCCGATGCGGGACTCGATCCCGGGACTCCAGGATCATGACCTGAGCCGAAGGCAGTCGCTTAACCAACTGAGCCACCCAGGCGCCCCTACTTTATGATATTTGAACGTTAGAATAATATATTAGAATATTAGAATTAGAATGTATCAGTCACACTAAGGCAACTTATATAATCTGTATCCATGGAGCTGTCATTCTAGTAACAAGACAGAGAGCAAGATGGGGGGACGAGGGGATCAACAAGTAACCAAAGAAATAAAAAAATTACAGATTATGCAAAATAGTATGTATGAAGGAGATGACAGAGTAGTGGTAGGTTAATCTTAGATAAAATAGTCATCCATGAGACAAGGCAAGTTAAGTTGACATCATAGGATAAGAATGAGCAATGTTATGCAGATAACTTGATGAAGAACATTCCAAGAAGGAACAGCCAATGCCAAAACCCAGAGGCAGAAAAATTTAGGCATCATCAAGAAACATAAAAAAAAGCCTGGTGTACCTGGACTATCCTGAGCTTGAGTGAAGTGGAAATTGCTAAGTTTGAAAAGGGAGGAAGAATTGAGAAGATATAGATGATGTAGGAAGACTTTGTTAGAAATTAGGTTTTATGCTAAGAGCAATGGCCATAAGCCACTGAACATTTTTCGGAAGGAATACAACCCATTCTGAATTAGTATTTCCCAAAATACCAATAATCACACAGCTGTTATATGAAAAATGAGCTGGAGAGATGAAGTTGTTGAGAGAATACACAACAGGATACAGCAGAGTTCAGCAAGGGGTAACAGCAGCATCAGTTGACCACCATGGAGATGGAGAAATGTACAAGAACAAGGACATAGTGCAGAGAAAGGAAAGACAATGACAGAAGGAAAAGATAAGGCTCACTGTAAGAATGAATGCCAGAGGAAGAAAAGGGAATCATCAAGCATAGCTTTTCAATATGTGGCTTACGTATCTGTGTAGCTGCTGGTGCCATTTAATAAGATGAGGAAGATTAGGGAGAGAGGTCTGACATTTGTGGGGACTCAAGTGCTCCATTTTGAGGGACACATCAGGCTTGAGATAATATATACATTCATGAACAAATATGAAGTATCCAGTTAGACCTATGAGTGTGGAGAAAGTTCTAGACGTCAGATAACTTTTTTTAAGTGGGCATGGAGCCCAATGCAGGGCTTGACCTCACAATCCTGAGATCAAGACCTGAGCTGAGATAGAGTCAGATGCTTAATGAACTTAATCACCCAGGCGCCCCTTTAGATAACAATTTTAAGTCATGAGTATATAAACAGTACTTAAATATTTTGACTACACAGAACCAGGTGAGATAATGTAGGAAGAATGGACAGAGAAAGAGGAAGGCCCTGGACAAGAATTTCATAGATTCCAAGTCTTAAGAGTTTTGGGAGAGGGGCGCCTGGGTGGCTCAGTTGTTAAGTGGCTGCCTTCGGCTCAGGTCATGATCTCGGGGTCCTGGGATCGAGCCCCGCATCGGGCTCCTTGCTCAGCGGGAAGCCTGCTTCTCCCTCTCCCACTCCCCCTGCTTGTGTTCCCTCTCTCACTGTCCCTCTCTCTCTCTCTGTCAAATAAGTAAATAAAATCTTTAAAAAAAAAAAAAAAAGAATTTTGGGAGAGGAATATGCAAAGAGAATTTGAAAATCCCACCCAGAGACATCAAACAAATGCTGATCAAACATAAACAATGTGGGTTTTCATAACAAAGGGTTGGAATCAGAAAATCAGAAAGGAGGACCTATAGCACCTCATCCCAAGATTACTGCAGTAAAATATTCAACTGCCTTGTTACTAAACCTTTCCCCTTTCATTCTACCTGCACACCAAAACTAACTTATATAAAACACCAATCACCTATTTAGACTAATACTGTAGTCAACACTTCAATTTTCTATGTAAAAATGATACAACCTCACCCAGTCCAATATACCCAGACACATATATGTCCATCTAGAATTTAAAAATAGGTCCTTAGGGGCACCTGAGTGGCTCAGTCAGTTAAGTGTCCAACTCTTGATTTCAGCTCAGGTTATGATCTCAGCGTTGTGAGATCAAGCCCCACACCTGGCTCCATGCTGAGTGTGGAGCCTGCTTAAGATTCTCTTTCTCTCAAAAAAAAAAAGAAGAAGAAGAAGGTAGCAGGAGGGGAAGAATGAAGGGGGGGAAATCGGAGGGGTAGACGAACCATGAGAGACGATGGACTCTGAAAAACAAACTGAGGGTTCTAGAGGGGAGGGGGGTGGAAGGATGGGTTAGCCTGGTGATGGGTATTGAGGAGGGCACGTTCTGCATGGAGCACTGGGTGTTATACACAAACAATGAATCATGGAACACTTCATCTAAAACTAATGATGTAATGTATGGAGATTAACATAAGAATAAAAAAATTAAAAAAAAAAAAGATTCTCTTTCTCTCTCCCTCTCCCTCTGCCCACCCTGCTCATGCATGTGCACATTCTCTCTCTAAAAAAAAAAAAAAAAAGAAAAGGTCCTCGGGCCATCTGCCCTTGTCCCAGAGAAGAGTACAGTTGTACTGACTGGTGGAAACATCACCTTCTCCAATGAGTTTAATCATACTATAACTGTGTACTATGCTGTTCAATAAAATTTTCTGCAATGATGGGAATGTTCTGTATCTGTGTTTCCTAATATGGTACCCACTAGCCACGTGTGGCTATTGAGCACTTGAATGTGGGTGACCAGAGTGACAGTGGAACTGAATTTGTAATTTTACTTAATGTTAATTACACTTAGGTAGCCACATGTGGCCAGTGGCCAATACAATGGACAGCACAGATACAGGTCATCTGTATCCATATAAACCATATCCGTACTTGCCATTATAATCTACTTGATATACTCATCCCCAAATTTTCTTCTTTCAACTAATGCCACATACTTCCTTAATCTCTGTTCCTACATCATCTGTCACCACCAATTAAGAGATTCATTCCCCATCCAGGAACAAAACATTGACCTGCCTTATCTTCCATTTATCCTAGAATTCCAAGCTGTAACTTCCTGTTTCAATGCTACTCCCTAGCTCTCAAGCAAGACCATCTACAAATAGCATAAAAAGTTAAAACAGAACCAAATTCACACTTTCTAAGCCAATTATTAACATAAAGTCCACAATAATCAGCCATTTCCTTTCATACAGTCTCCTATAGGCCAATGTACTAAGGATCTCCCACATTGCTTTCCTCAACTCTATCTCTAAAATCTTTTTACTAACCCATATCATTTTGACTTGAAATTCAACTATCTTTCTTGCAGAAATTATTTTATCATTCTTCCAAAAAGTACTTTAATTCTTTCTGTAACACTTCACCAAAGTTCAATTTTCTCTAATTTTGCAAAAACAGCCCGTCTATGCCTCATAATCAAATCCTAAAAATTTTAATGGGACTTTGACACTTGGAAGGTATTCTGTCCTTCATGAGATCCAGCTCTTTCAGAGTGCAGTAGGATGGCAGTTCTTCAACTACACGGATCAAAGCACAGCTGGCCTAGTTAAGTTTTTCCAAGCTCATATGCTCAGGGCACTCCCCATTTCTAGTAGATTAGAAACCAAATCTCCAGAGACAAAGCCTGTGGTTTGAAAAAGTTCCCATGTAGTTTACACACATCCCTGATTTAAAAAGAAAACAAAACAAAATAAGACCTACTTTCAAGATGTGGGGAACAAACAGATGCAAGTGATGCTGTCAGTAAATGATTATCTAGTCTACATGCAGTAAGGAAGACTAACATAGAGGCCTTTTCTCCATATGGAAAAAGAAGCCTCATACCCACCATAAAACAATATGATAAAACATGTGATCATGACTGAGTCAGTGCAGTGTAGACACAAAGTACAGAAAAATTAGAAAAGAGGGAGTTCCAAGTGTGCACTGGAACTTGTGGAGATAAAAAGAGATCAAGGTGAAGGAAGGCGGTATCTGGCCGTAAAAATGCAACACAATCAAATGCACAGATGCCAATCCTCACCTTATTGGACACTATATGACCTGTGGCTTTCAATAAAATCTATCACTTCCTCCTCTTTGGAATAAGTTTGTCACTTGCGTCTGGGACATTTTCTGACCCTCCTCCCACCATAGCCCCAATACTTCTCACTCTACCCAGCTGGGTTCTTATCTTATCAACCTCTAAATATATGTGGACCTCTTGTTTTTTTAACCAGTTCTCACTCCTCCTGTTTTCTCATCAAGTTCCACCACTTTAATGCCCCCCGCCCACAGAGGAATACAGCCATACCATTAAAAGGGACTAACTGAACAACCGAAGACAGCCGATGTGTGTAGCAACAGGTGCAATGCAAGACTAAATGATCACAGCCTACTCCGAGGTGGGAATTGAGAGTGTGCAATTCCCTAAGGCCTTTTCAAAACAATAAAATCTAATATAAGTAGCAGAGACTGTCAGAAATAATACAGAAAATTCAAGGCAACTCACAGGTAACTAAGCACCTAACGTGTACAGCAGCAGAGCAGAACCTAAGTAAAACGCACTAGGGGTAAAAGGATTCACAAGGAGGAAAAATGATCTCAGGTTGCAACACAAAAGCTGAAGGAAAGAGGACTTCCCAGGATAATTATCCTCGGTGCCGGCAAAATATAGAATTAGAGGTCTGATCAGACTACAGAAGGGGAGATGTCAACCTGGGAATAACTGTCAGAGTACAGAGAGCTAAACTCTTCAAATATATCTGAATACACTCTATGACGGTGAAGACATTATCTGGGAGAAAGGAGGACCTCTGCTTTTGCATACAGGAAGGAGGACATCAAAGGGCAGCTGCCCTGGTAGCTGGCAACATACGGGGATTACACTGCCGATCAGACATTAGTAGAAGAGGTCAATTTGGGACTCTCCAGCAGAGAACAGAGAGCTTAGGCCTTGAGAATGAATGAAACTTTTAATATGAGAATGAAGCAGAAGATTAAAAAAAGAAAGAAAAACCCACAAAAACCCAGAACCTGGAAGTTGGGGAAGCAGAGGCTGAATAGTAGATTGAGGTGCCCTAAGCGGCAAGGTACATGTAGTTTTTAGATGACCTCAGGTGAGGTGGGTTGTCAGGGAGGGATTTCAGCCCTTTTGAAAGGGGCAAGGATGTGCAGAAGACGAGAACTGTGCCAAGGGCAAAGCCATCTGTATGGGAGCAAGTCGGTGAGGAACAGGAGGTGGGAACGCTGCAGAAAAGGGAAGTAGAAGACAGGCAGAAGCTGGGCAGGAGGGAACCAGGTAAGAAATCTGGATCCTACATGAGCCAAGACTGTAATCAGATCTAGAAATGAGAAAAAAAGGAAGACCTCAACCTTTAATAGCAGGCAAAGAACAGCCCGAATAAAGAAGAGCGATACAGAAAGGAGTTACTCAGATTTTTGTGTCACCAACTGGCATAAGAAAAGTTCTCCAGGGACGCCTGTGTGGCTCAGTTGGTTGAGCGTCTGCCTTCGGCTCGGGTCATGAACCCGGGGTCCTGGGATCAAGTCCCACATCGGGTTCCCTGCTCACTGGGGACCCTGCTAGTCCCTCTGCCTGCCGCTCACCCTGCTTGTGAGCGCTCTCTTTCTCTCTCTCTGACAAATAAATAAAATAAAATCATTAAAAAAAAAAAAAAAGAAAAGAAAAGTTCTCCACACAACACTTCCAAAGTGTTAACCTTTCACTGGCCCACTGGAGTTTTAGTGTCCTTTCTCCCCATTTTCTTGGTTTTCACTCACTCACCTTGACAGGTTTGACTCTGAGCTGCTCCCACTACCGTCCATGGTGGTTCTCCTTGCTCCAAATGGAAGAGTGAATCTGGTTTGCTAGCTTGATAACCTGTAAAATGGGAAATCATTGAAAACTTGGCACCAAGTATTTAAGCTTGGGGAATCTAAGAAAACTGGAGAAAGTCTGTACATCATTTATACTTCAGTAAAGCAAAATCCTTTTCCTGGGGGAGGGAGAGCATATACACTCTAGCGCCAAAGAGGAGAATAAAAGTCTGTTCTCTACAATGTGTTAGTCCAAACCAGGAGATATTTCAGGGACACTACCAATTTTATTGAATGAGAAAGAAAAGGCAACGGATTGTGATGCCGTCCTCACCCACTGACACCAGGTTCCTATAGTTCTCCAACATCACTTCCCGGTACAGGTCCTTCTGAGATGGAGCCAGTAACTGCCATTCCTCCCAGGAGAAGCCCACAGCCACGTCCTCAAATGATAATGACGCCTGTAACAACAGATGCCGATGCAATCTAAGGTGGAACAGATGATGCGGAAAAGAGGGACAGGAACACGTTCTCATCATTTTCCCTTGATAAGTTATGCACACTGTGAGTATTTCACATACCACAGGACCATGTGTCTTAGTCCATTCAGGTTCCTATAACAAAATACCAGAGACTGTGTAGCTTATAAAAGCAGAAATTTATTTCTCACAGTTGTGGAAGCTGGGAAGTCCCAGATCAAGGAGCCAGCAAGGTTGCATTCTGGTGAGGGCCCACTTCCCAGTCCAAAGGCCCCACCTCCTAATACATCATCTTTGGGGGTTAAGATTCTAACATACGAATTTTGTGGGGACACAAACATTCAGACAACACCACCATGGAATTCTATTAATTAGTTCTTCTTAGCCTAAAAGAGTACTAAAGTAATATTTGAAGAAAAAAAATACTTGCAGAGACAAAACAATGTGGAGGAAGAATGTTCATTATTTGTTTATAACAGTGAAAAATTATCCATATCTACACGTCCATCAGAAACAGACAAGGGGGCGCCTGGGTGGCTCAGTCGGTTAAGCGTCTGCCTTCGGCTCGGGTTGTGATCCCAGGGTCCTGGGATCGAGCCCCGCATCGGGCTCC